AAATAGCAGTTAAATAAACATCGCATCGATACTTATTAGATATCTAAAGCATCTAAAAGACATCGATTCGATGTCTATTCGTCTTACCACGGCCGTCTAAAGTTAACATTGATAAGATGTCGAAATGATAATCTATTAGACATCGAAATGTGGACCGTTTTTAAGTCGATATAGATCTTAATCTAGATTAGACGTAGGTGGTAGATAGACGTTTCATATAGACGTCTGGTAGACGTCGAATCAACGTAACTTTTCTCGCTGGGTACATATTATATTCTATACTTACACAGCAAAAAAAAAGAAATTCAACTAAACTACGATAATATTGCCATAAGTTACTGTAAAAATCAAGCTCAGTATGGTGTTTAGAGGTTATGTTACATCTTAGAACTATAATATTTTGCTGCTGTCACTATTTTTCAGAAGTGTAAGCCTCAGAATCAACAAAAGCGTGAAAGAATAATCGAATATATGACACAAACGAATAAAAACTCAAAATTTTACAAAAAAACCTGAAAATCTCCGCCATTTTGAATTTTTTTAATTATATTGTAGTACATTGCGATTTAATTTCATTTAAATCATATTTTAATACTTTATAGACCACACAAATGCAAATAGGTGATAAATAATCTGGAAAAAGCGATAAAAACAAAAATTTTCTATAAAAAGCTGCTATATTGAATCCGCCATAATGAATTGTTTGATCTGCAAAGCATCATATTTTAGCTAAAGATATTATGCCACCAGATACAGACAACTACCATGATCCTGTAACAGGATCATGCCGAAAAGTGAGATACAAACAAACTATATTCTATTTTTTTTTCAATTTTTTGATGTTTTAGCCGCCATATTGAAAAAATGGCGCGCGATAGCAAGAAATGAACTTCAGATTCGGAAAGGGCATATTTTATATTTATAGGGTATCGAGTGCCGGAAAGATCTATGGACGTTTTCTGTCAAAATTATTGCCATGAAGAAAAGACAAAATTTAGATCATTTTGGCGAAACGGGTTAATCACCCCGACCTATTTCAGCTATATATTAGCTCTGTTACGGTACAAATCAGACATCCTGTATACAAGGTGTCCCAGAACAATTTACGAAGTTTTCATGAGAACGTAGAACGGCTCGAGATGAACATAAAAGTCCTTTTAATATCGTTTTGCGATATTCGTAATAATAACCTAGAAATTAATTACGAAAATTAAAGAAAAGCGTGTGCTGAATGGTAGAGAACAGACTGTACGAGTCACAACAACCCAGTAATATAGCACGTAGATGTCGCGCGTGGCGATTGGAAGACAATGCACTACTACCTATACTTATACTGCTCTGCTCCCATATCTCGCCTCGGCGCGGTGCGGCAAGACGTAGGAACGCAGCAATATAAGTATAGGCAGTGGTGCGTTATCTTCCAATCGCCACGCGTCGACATCCGCGCGCTATATTAGGGCCTTTGCACGAAAAATTTTAACCGTAACCGTAAGGTCGTAAAAAAATTGACCAAACACAGTCGATTATTCTTTGAACGCAAGAAGAATAATCAATTCTGATTGATTTTTCTTACGACCTTATGGTTACGGTTAAAATTTTTCTACGTGCAAAGGCCCTTATTGGACCGCACTGTGACCCAAGCGGTCCGTCTTCTACCATTCAGCACACGCTTTTCCTTAATCTTTCGTAATTAATTTCTCGGTTATTATTACGAATATCGCAAAACGATATAGGACTTTTATGTTCATTTCAACCCACTCTACGTTCTTACGAGAGCTTCGTAGATTGTTCTGGAACATTCTACATATATACAGAGTGTTCCGCATAAGACGTACCAAAAGAAAAATATAAGTAGAACAGATAAATGTGAACAAATATTGTAGAGATCATTTTTCAAACAACCACGTAAAATTTTGAGATATTAATTAAAATATTTGGGCAATCAGAGCGTGCGACGTGACAGGTGGCACATACAGTTCGCCGCGGCTGGCGAAGAAAATGGACGATTGCTCGCGGGCCTATCACATAGTGATACTACCGAAAAACGCCAAAAAGTCGGTCAGAACTGGCAGCACCCCAAAGTTTACTCTTGGGTACGATGTCAGCGGTGAAAGTAAAAAATTATTTAAAAATATTTGTAGACCGGAACTCTCGTTAAAACATACCGGAGGCCTTGGAACTATTGCAGTACTATCGAAAGAGCCAAAAAGTCGACCAGAACTGCTAGCGTCGCAGAGTTTACTTTTAGGTGCGGTGCCAGCGGTAAAATTACAAAATTATTTAAAAATAGTTAGAGGCCGGAACTCTCGTTAAAACATACCAGAGGCTTCGTAACTATTGCAGTACTACCGGAAAGCGCCAAAAAGTCGGGCAGAACTGCTAGCCTGCAGAGTTTACTCTTAGATGCAGTACCAGTGGTAAAACAAAAAAAATTATTTAAAAATAGTTTGAGGCCAGAACTCTTGATATTCCGTAAGCTTTGGAACTATTACATTACTACCGGAAAACGCCAAAAAGTCGGCCAAAACTGTAAGCATGCTAAAGTTTATTCTTGCAGTGCGGTGCTGGCATTCAAGTTTAAAAATTATTTAAAAATATTTAGAGACCGGAACCCTTGCAAAAACGTATCAGGAACTATAGAGCACTTCGAAAACTATACAATAAAATTAAAAAAAAAATTTTTTTTGAATGTTGCGGTGCCATGAGAAGTTGGCACCTCATATTTTAAAAATTAATAAAAAAAATTATTTTTTTTTATTAATTCGACGGAACTATTGTTATAACCTATCAGGAACTATAGAACTATTGTGGGTGCAAATAGAACTAATGTCAAAACTTGCGGTGCTAAAAAATGAGGTGTTAACTTTACACACGTATGGGCAGAGGGACGCAGCGAGCCACGATTCGCGTGTATCACGGTCACAGCCGAAGCATATTTCTTTCGGCTGCCGCTTCCCGAGCGCTCATTTGCTCAGACAAAATAATTAATTACTCGAAAACTATTGCCAATTTCGCAAAATGGTATTTGATTTTTCTGTTCCGTTTAATTCGTTCTACTTTCCTACGAATTGTGTAAATAAAGGTTTCAGACACCCTGTATAGTAACAGTAACTAATATAATATATATTTTATTTATTATTTTGTATTATTTTGTACTATTTGTAAAATTTTATACTATTTTATATTATTATTTTGTTTTATAATATAAAATATGTGAACATTAGATTAGATCATAAAAAAGATATCTTTAAAACTAGTGAAAGAAAAAAAAATAACATTGTTACTTCTTAAGTAACGTTAATAGTAACGGATTAAATCTAGTCAATCTTGTTTTAAGCCGTAAGCGAATTGACCAACTACAGTCAATTATTCTTGAAATAATCCACTATGATTGGTCAATTTGTTTACGGTTTACCGCTTAAAGCAAGGTTATAGGCCCGGGATTAGATTAAGTTAAGAAATACATTAGCAGTAAAATTTAAATTTAAGAAGTAAACAAATTGGCAAATTGTCAACTACAGTTGATAATTTTTCTTACAGTTTAAGAATAATCGATTGTGATTGTTTATCGATTGTAATAATAATCGATTGTAATTTTCTTACTGTAGTCAAGTCTTATTGCTTATAATGTACATTTTTCGGTGTGCTCCTAGCCTTAAGTAGGTAGTACACGGAAAAATGTAAGTAATAATAAAAAGATCAATTATAATTTATTTTATTTTTGGAGCATAAGAAGAACTATTGACTATAGTCAATTTTCTTACTACTTAATTTTCACTGTTTACGTTTTTCTGTATGCTTTTGGTTTTATTTTTCAAAATAACTAATGCGGCGCGCGCAATAAATTATTTCTAAAAAATAATTTACCTAATCCTGTAAATATTTTTCAATTATTATAATGTTGTAAACTAGTAATATTAGATGGATAGTTTTAAAAAAATGTCTATTTTTGCAGATTTCTTGTACCAAGAGGCGTTTTTAACGACTTATAGAACTTTTATGCAGCCGTTGGAGCTAATTCAAAAACTGCACAGACGTCATCAACGCTTTTCATGTTCACCTGATGTCGTAAAACAGAGAGCTGCTCGTGAAGCGTTCTCTTTGTTAGTTAGAGTCGTTAGTGATTTAACGTAAGTATACGCTTTTGCTTATATCTAATTACACTTCTACAGCACTTAAATATAATTTATAACACAATTAATTTTACAGAATATCCGATCTTGATGACGTTCTTCTACAAACTCTAATGGAATTTGTGCAGCAGTTAGTGTGCAGCGGAGATCTCACAATGGCCAAAGCATTGCGAGTTAAGATATTAGAGAAACACTCTGTCAAGCAATTGCAAGCGGCGCAACCAATTCTGTCGTCCTTAAGTGTAACAACGAAACAAGCATCTTTGTTGGATTTTAAAAGCGAACAAATCGCGGAACAAATGACGCTACTCGATGCCGACTTGTTTATGAAAATAGAAATTCCGGAAGTACTGATTTGGGCGCAAGAACAAAACGAAGAGAGAAGTCCGAATCTCACGAGATTTACTGAACATTTTAACAAAATGTCATATTGGGCACGCTCCAGGATATTAGAACACCGATTGGAAAATGAGGCAAAAGACAGGGAGAAATATGTCGTGAAATTCATCAAGATAATGAAACATCTTAGGAAGATTAATAATTTTAATAGCTATCTCGCGTTATTGTCCGCCCTGGACAGTGCACCTATTAGGAGACTTGAATGGCAGAAGCACATTACGGAAGGTCTCAAGGAATATTGTGCTCTGATAGATAGTTCTAGTAGCTTCCGAGCCTATAGGCAAGCTTTAGCGGAAACACAACCACCATGCATTCCTTATATGTAAGAATATAAATATTTTTCTCGATCGAAATTACGAAATTTTATGTGTCTGTTTGATTATTGGAAATGCATTTTATCCTTTGTTTCAGTGGACTTGTTTTGCAAGATCTTACATTCGTGCATATCGGGAATAGCGATTTATTACCAGATGGCACTATAAATTTCTCTAAAAGATGGCAACAATTTAATATTGTCGAAAATATGAAAAGATTTAAGAAAGGGTGAGTAGTTGTATGTCGAATTTTTTTCTTCGTGGTCCCATGTCAAGTTTACAACAGTATCATTCGTTTCTTTCTAATTAATTCTATAAATCAATGTTTCATTCATTAATGGCATATTCAATATAAGTATATTACTGCAAATGTATTGTTGCATTAGTTAAGTAGTAAATTATTGAAATGAATATGAACTACATACTATATTGTCACGAAGTAAATACATTTCTATAGATTAGTTTAGAAAAGAAATTGAAAATAATTTAAAGGGACAATGTGTGTGTTGTCAATGTTTAACACTACTATACACTTTGCAGCACATATTCCTTCAAGAAGCACGAACGCATCATAACGTTCTTCAACAACTTCAGCGATTTCCTCTGTGAGGAGGCGATGTGGCAGATTTCCGAGAGCATCAAGCCACGTGGTGGCAAGAAAGCACAACCGCAAAACTAGAATATACCTAACCCTTTCACTGCCTGCGTCTCGAAATTGAAAGGCTGAAACAGTGAATTAACATGTTTATATTTATGTAGGTATATACTTTTTTGCGGAAACAAATGAAATTCTTCTACAACGTTCTAAGAGCGGTGAAAGGGTTAGCGAGTCTATCCCGTTTCGACAGCCTCTGTGAGGTTGTGTATTATCATATTATTAAACCTTATGAAATTTTAGTAATGCGCAAACATGTGTGTGAATTCCATATTCAATGTCGTTCAATATCGTTGTATTGAATCGTAAACGCACCGTTTTAACTTAAAAGTAAATTATGTTTGTGAGCATCAATTAGATCGAAACGCCAACACGCGAATTCACTGGAGGGAACTTTGGTACACTAGACAAACCTAAATATCTATCCCGACGCATTTTTAGTAGCCTTTCCATTTGCTACAAGCCGATATACGTATTTGCTATGAAGATATGCAACTTATACTTAACTACAACTGTAACAGTGTTTATCGTAATATTAATGAAAGAAACCACGGTCTTCAGCTGTTCTAGGAAAAAAAAACATTTAAGAACAATTTATTTATTTGCCTTCGCTAGCGAATTGTATAAAGTAGTAAGTGTTTTTCTTTTTATTTTTAACTTATTTATAGATATATGTAAACGTCCATTTCTAGCTTTATGTAGGTAGTGAATTTTTGAACGTCAACAGAACACTGTTGATTACACAAGGATGAACACCAATTACGTTGATTAATGTAGAGCCATTGTAGTCTCGTGATGGCGCTCTGGTGTGCGCATATCGGGACACATGGTACGACTGAGCGCAACTGTTACATATACTATTGTATATGATGATAGAAAGAAAAACACGGCGATTGCATTGGTATTAATTTGTGCCTTGCGGATGATCTTTTCGCTTTGTCGAGAGATACATTATGATGGTGCAAATTAGTGTCAGCAGTCACAGCAAAAATACTTTTTTGTTGGCAACTTGTTAATAAGTATCCGAGCTTTCAGCTTTAAATCATATGACTACTTAGTGTCTAGATATAAATTAAATATTATTCTATATTTATAACAAAATCAAATTTTGTTTTTATTACACACGTTTCATTTTGTTTCATTCATTCGTTATAGAAAACACTTCTTTTGATTGGAATAACTTAATCCGACCTCTCAATACTATATATACATTGACTCTTTCACGATACATTGAGTGGAGTGCAGGAAATGATCAAATCAATTTTGTTCGCTATTGGAAAGGTGTATCGTATCTTCTTAAGATATTATTTTTGGATATTCAATATATCGAGATACTTTCACTCTTAGATATGACAGTGAAAGATGTTGCCATGTAATAGTAACAATAATAAAGTAGTATAGCAGTTTGTGTGTGCCTCCGTCTTAAAGGATGAATCAAGCGAGTGAATCCGTTTTTTTAATCTTCTTTAATTTATTATTTGAGAATAAAATGCTTCGTCTTTGTAATAATAGAGTCGATATGAATCGCAATTCGCTGATTCTCAAACTTCATTATCAGTGTGCGTATGCATATCAGGATTTATAATATTTAGTGATACTTACAGCAACAAAAGAACAAAAGGCCTAAGCGTTTAGTTAACGATCGTTCTAGTACAAAACACGGGTAATAACACTCCAAACAAATTAATTGTCACAATATAATAAATGAAATTTTAAAAAGTAGTTATAAAGCTGCCATATACATAAAAAGAAAAGATTAGTGTCAATAGTTTGAATTCTACAAAATAAACTTTTAACTGATACAGTCTTAGATAGAAAAGAAGAAATCAGCGTAGATCTTTTTATCCTTGATATTAATTACACACTTATTTGGTATTTGTAATAAAACGTATGAAGAGAACGGAAAAATTCCTCACTGGGAGAAAAAAACTAATGTGATATAATAATTGGCTATAATGCGGTGTAAATGAAGTTGTACATAACGTTTACATTTATTTATCCCATTTTGTTTGCAGTGTCAATTGCTATTGTTTGTGAAATTTCTTGGATAAAAATAACTAGCTACGCGCACACAACATACACACAAACACGATACGCGTGACAAGTATGCAGCAGCAATAGTGCGCACATTATAGTACTATATAATATTCTCATATTATAATATAATTGTTCAGTTCATAATCACGTGCGTGAGTGAACGTGAGTGTGTGTGCTTTATGTTTTTCGTCTTAGTAGCTAACGATCAAACGATTTACTTGACATAGAAATAAGCAAAGATCTATTAACAGTGTAAATAATTTAACGCATAATTTCATGAATTTACACGCGTGTATCTACTATATATCGATAATTGTAAATGTACGCTGCATCGAGCTAAATAATTTTTAAGTTAAATTAATAATCATTGTGATGTGTGTCACGTTACGTACCTCACGTTCGTACGTAACGCTTACATGATCTTTTTTTTCCTTCTCACTACACTGTTTTTATTAAATTGCGAATTAAATGGCAATCGAGCAGTTGATTTGTATTATCTGCTTTATCTTTTTTGTTTTTCATTTCTATTACGTCATTTCTTGAGGCAGCTGTTAGTAGTAATATTATCGCATGTAACTTCTCAACGGTGTCTTTACTTTCTAATAATAATATACAGCTGTTTATATTTTGTATAATATTTTTGGAAATTCTGGTGATAGTTGAAAAGCCTTCCCAAGACATATCGCGGGACTGTACCATAATTTCTAAAAGCGCGCAAAGAGATTTCGTTAGACTATCGGCAGAATTTCCCCGTCGTATATTATGGAACGAATATATAAGCGTATAAATTTAAGTACTGTATTATCGAGATACGAGTGAGATCATCCATTGAAGGTGCAACGAAGAAATTAGACACGATTTACCGATTAGATAGAGAATTAAGCTGCTTCGCAGGGTAGGAGAAGTTGAGTTATTAAGAAGACGAAACAATTATACGCAATTGCTTTCTTCTTACACTCGACTATAATCTAGAATAGGCAGAATATAAAAACATAACTTTGTAATTTCTTTTTCTTTTTTCGTTTGCTGAATGTCTTAGCTTTGAAGGGATAGTCTGTATTGACAATGGACTATATAACAATCGCTGTTAACTCTAAAATTACAATTGAGAAGCACGCGACGTTGCGTGCAATTTACTGCATATACTTAAACTCTAAGGCTAAATTTATTTGCACTTTGACGAAAATCAATCGTACACTATCTGTTGCATTGTACATATACACGCATACGTTGTTAATCTAGTCTAACTATGGAACGAACTTTGTTGTCAATATTTAAACATATAGACTTCGACATACATCTAGGCATATCGATACTCCAATAATAGCAGGAAAGGGGGAAAAGGAAAAACGAACTAGTTTCTATACCAGAAAGGCTTGTACCGAAAATTATTTGGCCCTGTTTATGCATGGGCTTCCTCTTTTCGGTCAGACGTGCATCACATATACGTGACGATATTCAATAAAATTGAATTAAATAATTGTCGCCGAATATATGGATTAACATTCTTCTGCGTGTACTATTAAAATGGGAAGTGATAACAAAAGGTCCATACAAACCGATGCGTGATGGTGCCGTCGCGAGAGAAAAAGAGAGAGACATAGGAAAAAGGAAGAAGAAAGAAAAAGTTATACACGAAATTGTTTTAAATTCTCGCCGCGCGATATCTCTCGCGTCGGTTCGAGTGGCTCTTCGTTCCTAACAAATACCGATATAAGCACCAAAACAAGTAATTATCGCTATTGATGTGTTATAAATCCTTTATCGGAAAAAAAAGTGCGTGCGTGCGTGCGTGCGTGCGTGCGTGTGTGTGTGTGTGTGTGTGTGTGTGTGTGTGTGTGTGTGTGTGTGTGTGTGTGTGTGTGTGTGTGTGTGTGTGTGTGTGTGTGTGTGTGTGTGTGTGTGTGTGTGTGTGTGTGTGTGTGTGTGTGTGTGTGTGTGTGTGTGTGTGTGTGTGTGTGTGTGTGTGTGTGTGTGTGTGTGTGTGTGTGTGTGTGTGTGTGTGTGTGTGTGTGTGTGTGTGTGTGTGTGTGTGTGTGTGTGTGTGTGTGTGTGTGTGTGTGTGTGTGTGTGTGTGTGTGTGTGTGTGTGTGTGTGTGTGTGTGTGTGTGTGTGTGTGTGTGTGTGTGTGTGTGTGTGTGTGTGTGTGTGTGTGTGTGTGTGTGTGTGTGTGTGTGTGTGTGTGTGTGTGTGTGTGTGTGTGTGTGTGTGTGTGTGTGTGTGTGTGTGTGTGTGTGTGTGTGTGTGTGTGTGTGTGTGTGTGTGTGTGTGTGTGTGTGTGTGTGTGTGTGTGTGTGTGTGTGTGTGTGTGTGTGTGTGTGTGTGTGTGTGTGTGTGTGTACAGGGTGTCCCGTGTAAGACGGACCAAAAGAAAAATATAATTAGAACACATAAAAGTGAACAAAAATTGTATAGGTCATTTTTCAAACAACTACGTAAAATTTCGAGATATTAATTAAAATAGTTGGGCATATCAGAGCACGGTGACGCGGCAGGCGGGCAGAGGTCGGCGAAGAAAATGGAAGAACGCACACGTACACGGATGTACACACGGAGCTACTCATTTTAGTACGCCAAACGGCCCACCTCTTTGGTCTATAAGATAGGCCCGCGAGCAG